AGAGAAAGGTGGCCGGATTGAACAATAAGCATACACGGTTAGCAAATAAAAGCCAGGCACTCTTGCTTCCTTCTTTCTGTGTTTGTCTGTTCTTTAAAATAGTGGCAAACCGACTATTTCCAACAACTTACTGGTGTCATTAAGGTCGGTAAGCTTCCCCTGTCCCAGAGTTGCAATTTTGGAAAAGAAAGCCAGCATTTTCCACCTTGTGGTGGCCCCTGAGGGAGTCCAGGTTTGGGGGAACCAATCATTGCCTTTTGTGCATTCTTTACAGCACTTGAGATGGGCAAGGTGAAGAGGCGGAGGGTGTGGGAGACAGGAAGCAAAAGAAGGTCTCCCAGGCACAGACTAGGAGATCACGGAAGTTTGCCATTCTCACTCTCCCCTCTCCCCTCTCGCCTTCCCAAGACGCTTCTCTCACATTTCCAGGCATACCTGAGGCAACTCATTTTCTCAGTCTGGCCTGGTTTTTCTCACTAGAAAAAAAAAAAAATTTAAAGTTCAAATTCATTTGCACTTAGATGTAAATATATTTAATAGATCGTTCCTTCTCACCAAATCTGTAAGGCATTCTAAGGTTAGGGCCACAGGAAGACCTTGCAGGGGTGTAACCTGAGGCATCTAAAAGCTGAACAGAAGAGAAACCTTGGTGTTTGGGGCTATTTCTGGCCCCTTCTCAGAAGCCACACTCCAGGCTGGGCCAAATCCCAGCTGCATCTGGCACCGGCTGCTGCTGCTGATTACAGAGACGCCGCGGCATTCCCGGCGTCCTCTTGGCACTCCGAGAGCCTCCTCTCTCTCTGTGCAACCTTGGCCAAAGGCCAGGTTAGAAGTCTCCTTGGCTCATCCATCAGAAATGAGCTGGTTTTCGGGCGCCTGGGTGGCTCAGTCACTTGAGCCTCTGACTCTTTGATTTCAGCTCAGGTCATGATCCCAGGGTCATGGGATCGAGCCCCATATCGGACTCCGCACTGCCTGCTTGAGATTCTCCCTCCCCGACTCGCACAGCATGCGCTCTCACTCTCTCTCTCAAAATAAATAAACGTCTTAAAAAAAAAAAGAAAAGAAAAGAAATGAGCTGGTTTTTAGAAACATGAAATCACAAAAGAGAGGAGAAAAAAAACGAAGACTCGTGACAGTTTCAAATGCCTTCTCACGGAGTCAAGACTCGGCGCTCAGCTGCACCCTCTTGGCACACAGCTCCCCACCTCGCGCCCAGATGCAACAGCAATTTTGGGGAGCCCAAGAGCAAGACAGGCTCTTGAGCCCTAAAACTTTGTAAACGCCAAGACCCGAGGGAGTCAAAGAATGGTAAATGCTGACATCTGCTGGACGTTACGGCATTGCAGGATTGCCATCCAGTAAAACCTAACACTGCGTTGGAAATAAAGGAAGTCTGATTGCTTGAAGACATCCTTTATCCCAACTGCAAAAGTTCAGCTAGGTGCATCTTTTTGGTACGCAGGTACAAACCGGGCAGTATGATGACATAAGAGCAATGTCTTTGTCATGGCGAGAACTGGTTTTCGAATTCGGGTCCACGTCGGGTTTAATTCTCTGAGTCTTAGTTTTCATCTATAAAATCAAGACAATGATACCTCTCATACATAATTTTATTAGTTTTTTTTTTTTAATCAGTACTTTGAATTTTAAAATACAATCTGCACCCACGGGTCCAGGCTTCCCATTGGTCCCGCACTGCTGTCCTGAGGAACCCCTGGGACCTGCATGTTTGATTTGCACCCAGTTTCCCCCACAACAGTTGTTAACTTCATTCTTCCCATCCACGGGCAGAGCCTCACACGTACTGGGCACATGGTAAGAGCCCAGTCAATGCTGATTTGTTGATTGATTAGTAGATAGAAATGTGTTATTTCCCTACTCTGTTCCCACCACATGGGTGAAACACTGAGTTTTCTCTACCTCTTTAAGACCATCGTTAGAGGGCGCCTGGGTGGCTCAGTCAGTTGAGCGACCGACTTTGGTTCAGGTCATGATCTCGCGGTCCGTGAGTTTGAGCCCCGCGTCGGGCTCTGTGCTGACAGCTCAGAGACTGGAGCCTGTTTCAGATTCTGTGTCTTCCTCTCTCTGACCCTCCCCCGTTCATGCTCTGTCTCTCTCTGTCTCAAAAATAAATAAACGTTAAAAAAAATTTAAAAAAAAAAACCATCGTTGGAATCTCATGTGCTGTGAAGGACATTAATGATAGTTATGGATCCTGAATGGTCTCAAACTCTGTAATTTCAAGTCAGTGCCAACTTCCCTCAAGAAAAACACCCCTTTTAAAATGCAGAGCAAAGCAATCCAATTCAGTGGAGTCCAACTCAAAGAAATCAATGATGGCTAACAAGTTCTCCCAGCAGCCAGGCCAGGCAGCCAGGCCGGCAGAGAGAGAACGAGCCTTGGGACTGGGCCCTGTGCAGCCTCAGTGAGACTCACACAAAGCCTGGTTTATTAGAAACCACTGGAAGAGCTACAAGGCCCAGGCAGACTTCCTGGGCCCTGTCACAAATTTCCACTTTGAGGCGAACGGTGTCTTCCTTTGTTCTTGCCATCTTGGTTGTTGGTTTTTGCGCTCCGTCAGCGTGAAATCGGTGGGTCTGGCCTGGGACCGTGGGGACACACGGAGGCCAGGCCCCTTAAGAAAGACCTGCCCGTGTTCCCTTTTGCATCACGTCTTCTCTGAACACCATTTTAATAAGCCCAATGCCCTGGAGTCTTGCGCATGGAACTGTGGCTGCTTCTATCCTGCTATTTCTCGTCTATTGCAGTTTACGAAGATTTGAGATAGGTTGTTTAGATCGTGTCATTTCTTAAGTTCATTCGTTTAACAAATATTGATTGAATACCCATTATGTCTCAGAACGGCTTTAGGTTTTTTTGAGACACAGGTTTGAACAAGGCAAAGTCCTGACCCTCACAGACTATCACAATTCAGTGCAGGAAATGCTGTGACAAGAGCAAGCATACGGGCAGCTAACCCAACCTGGGAGAGCTTCCTGGAGGAAATGGCACCTAAGCTGAGATTTGAAGGCTAAGTAGGAGACTGCCCTGGGAGAGAAGATGAGGAGCAGATTAGCAATGGGTAAGGCTCTTGCACTGTTGGTGGGAATGCAAACTGGTGCAGCCGTTCTGGAAAACAGTGTGGAGGTTCCTCAGAAAATTCAAAATAGATCTACCCTATGACCCAGCAATAGCACTGCTTGGAATTTACCCAAGGGATCCAGGAGTGCTGATGAGTAGGGGCACTTGTACCCCAATGTTTATAGCAGCACTCTCAACAATAGCCAAATTATGGAAAGAGCCTAAATGTCCATCAACTGATGAATGGATAAAGAAATTGTGGTTTATATACACAACGGAGTACTACGTGGCAATGAGAAAGAATGAAACATGGCCTTTTGTAGCAACGTGGATGGAAGTGGAGAGTGTTATGCTAAGTGAAATAAGTCATACAGAGAAAGACAGATACCATATGTTTTCACTCTTATGTGGAGCCTGAGAAACTTACCAGAAGACCATGGGGGAGGAGGGAAAAAAAAGAAGAAGAAAGGTTAGAGAGGGAGAGAGCCAAAACATAAGAGACTCTTAAAAACTGAGAACAAACTGAGGGTTGATGGGGGTGGGAGGGAGGAGTGGGTGGGTGATGGGTATTGAGGAGGGCACCTGTTGGGATGAGTACTGGAAACCAATTTGACAATAAATTTCATATTAAAAAGAAAAAAGAAAAAAAAGAATGGGTAAGGATTCACCAGAAGGAGAATTTATACCTGGAATGAGAATGAACAAGGGGATTTTAGGAACTGGGGAACTTTAACATGATTGGAGCTTTGAGTACAAAGTAATAGTGAGAAAGAAAAGTGAGTAAGTAAACAGAGTACGGATCAAATCACAAAAGGTCTACATGCCATATTAGGACCTATACAGAAATGAGGAGCCAGTGAATGGTTAGAGGGAGGGGAGTAACATGACTGTATTTGCCTCTTAGAAAGATCAGTGTTTCTGCGGGGGGGGCAGCAGATCAGAGTGGACTCAGGCGCTGTGCAGACTCCAAGGCAGAAACTGTTTTGGAGGATGTTGTAATTTAATTAAGCGAGCTGGGGGAGTCACAGTGGGGATGTTGAAAAGCGTTCACCTGGGGAGGCATGCTGGCTCCAGAACTCCCTCTGGATTCTGCTCTGCTTCTCTGCTCTAAGGTACACGGTTGTATGTGTGTGTGTGTGTGTGTGTGTGTGTGTGTGTGTGTGTGTTGTGTGTACACGTTTACGTGTGTTGGGAAGGGAGTCCCAAGAGAGGACAATGGAAAGTGATTATGTGTCAGAAAGGGGCACGCACACTGAACCCAGAAATCAGCTGTTAGAGACCATCTTCACTAAACCTCTCTGTACAGAAAAAGAAAGTACAGCCCAGATGAGCACAGACTTATTCAAAGTTACAAGGGAAAGGGCTGGTAGAACCTCCCTCTCCTGACTGCCACCCCTTCCTCCAACCACGGCCTTTCCCTGCTCTGTGCTTTCACCTCTCTTCTCCCTTCTTTCCACTAAGCACCTTAGTGGAGCAACCGAGCCCAGGGGAAATGTTAGGATTCAAATGGTGGCAGTGTTGGAAACTTTTATATACAGACAACTTAAGAAAAACAAGACTTTGGTGGCACGTGGGTGGCTCAGTCTATTAAGCATCCAACTTTGGCTCAGGTCACGACCTCACAGTTCATGGGTTCAAGCCCCACATCGGGCTCTGTGCTGACGGCCCGGAGCCTGGAGCCTGTTTCAGATTGTCTCTCCCTTTCCCTCTGCCCCTCCCCTGCTTGCACTCTGTCTCTCTCCGTCTAAGAAAAAAAATTAATTAGGGGCGCCTGGGTGGCACAGTCGGTTAAGCGTCCGACTTCAGCCAGGTCACGATCTCGCGGTCCGTGAGTTCGAGCCCCGCGTCGGGCTCTGGGCTGATGGCTCAGAGCCTGGAGCCTGTTTCCGATTCTGTGTCTCCCTCTCTCTCTGCCCCTCCCCCGTTCATGCTCTGTCTCTCTCTGTCCCAAAAATAAATAAACGTTGAAAAAAAAATTTAAAAAAAAAAAAGAAAAAAAATTAATTAAAAAGAAAAAGAAGACTTTTAATTATATGAGCAGCCCTGTCCCCTGCAGTTCTCACGCTTGCGTTTTCCAAGCTTGTTTGCTTCTACCAACTCATAGGATTTTGATGAAAGTGTTTTTCATTTCTCATAGTTACTGACATCAATCCTTGAAAAGCCTTAGGACGAACTATTACAATATGAACCCTTGTTAACCTGTTCTATATCCGCTGAAGAGAAACTGCATATGAAGTGAAATTAATAAATGTATGATTTACAAGTTTATTAGACTTGGTCAATCATTGTGGAAAGCTTGGCTGCGTGAAGATTACAAGCTTCCTTGAAAAAAATAAATAATTAAAGAGAAACTTTATAAATTATACAGGGTTTCGACTGTATTGTATTTCATTCCAGAATAACAATATTCTGTACTCCATGGATTTAACTTAGGAAAGGTGTCTGATACTACGTGAGGCACATTCTCCTAAAGCCTTCACTTGATGTGTTATTCTTTACTGGCTAAAATGTTAGGGCTTCTCTGTTAGGACTCAAAATACTGTTCTGAAGTTTTAGGTAAATCAGGCTATTACAAAAGCTGTATTGTCCTTTTAGGACCTCAACAAACTAACTGTATTACTACGGAAAGTAGAGAATCAGCAGCCATGTGATTAACTGAGCCAGTGCCTAGAGACGTCAGTAATTCGATCTCCAATGGCAGCTTGGAAGCCTAAAGGTCATGGTATTCTCATTACTTGCTGGGTGTGACGAGGAGGGGAAATTGGAATTTTGGTCTAAGAGAAATCATGTGGTCAAGGGCATTTAACTACAATTAGCGGCTATCAGGGGCATTCAGGGATATGGATCAACAGTATCACTGTCTTCAATTACTGTCTTTGTCAATCATCATGACTGACATCAGTAAATAATGACCATGTCTCCTGGATGTGGGTCAAGAAGTATGGCAGTCGGAGGCATTGGTCGGTGGCCCAGTTCTGCTCCCTACCAGTCCTAACAAATCATCTGAGCTCACTGGTCTGTAGTTTCCTCATCAAATAGCTGTAAGGATGGGGCGTGGTGAGTAATGAGACGCATGTATGAGAACATTTTGTGTTTGTACATTGGGGTAAAACATGGCAATTATTTTATGATAAAAATAAGTATACAAAATATAATTGGGATTTTCTTAGAGTACTGCTTACTATTCCCTAGGAATAGCTTGCTTGGATATGTGTGTGTGTGTGTGTGTGTGTGTGTGTGTGTGTGTATACACACATATACACAAATGTATATGTATATACATACCAACATACACACATATAGATGTTTTTTTAATTGTAAGCATCCATTATTTTTTAAAATAGAGTAAATTGGACAAATGAAATTTTTATAGAGCTGGAGAGCCCATAACACATCACTAAAGCTTCAAAAATTCATTTGGAATTTTTCTTTTCAATTTTCTGATATTTTACGTAATAATAATCCCCTTCCTGATCTCTAGAGATATGGAAGAGCATGGAAGGAAGAGCACAGGTTTTAGTTTAGTTTAGTTTTTTTTTTTTTCTTTTCCAGTTTTTTTAATGAGCTAACAAACAAGAAAGATGGCGGAGAAGGCCCACATAGATCTTAAAATCTTCGGACTTTGGTACATGGACCTTTTTTATTCCCACCATTTAAAAATGTTTTCGTTAAAAAATAAATAAATAAAAATAAAACAATAAAATAAGAAAATAAAAACATTTTAGTTAATTTATATTTTTGAACTAGAAAATTCAGAATTAGACTAGTCCAGCCTTACAGCTGTGACACAGGCAGAATGGGCCCTCCCCCCAACACACCCCCCAAATTTGGTTCAGACGTCCAGACCAATGAGGCCACACGAACACCAAGAGAGCGTAGAAATGTTTATTATTCACATAATGAGACCCTCCGAGGAGAGCAGGGCAGGATGCTAACAGGTCCAAATGGCTTAAGAGAGCAGAAGGAGAGTGGCTTGGGACTTCATGGTAAGGTGGGAATTGAGGGTTCTGCTCTGCAAGAGCCAGGACTTGCACCGCGGGAAGGTCCTGCAGGTGCCAAAGGAGGAAGCATCTAGGCTGTCCCATCAGGTTGCCCAGATGTGGGGCAAAAGGGAAGAAGAGTAGTGGGGACTGAAAGCTGTCAGCCATCAATCAAGCATGAAAAAAGGGGGTGGAGCCAAACTCTTTAGTACAGACTCTATGACAATAATACAGAGCATAAAAGTGTACACAATATAGTACATCCATCTGGCCAGTGGCCAACCACCACTCCCTGATCCACCCGAGGCAACCACTCTTCAGTCTTACCAGCGGCTTTGGAACCTCCCAGAGACAGGCTATGTCTATACAAATATACGTATGTGCGAGCATGCACACACATGATTCACTCCTTTTGCTTAAGATCAAAGGGTAGTTAGTCACTGGATACTCCAAGGTTTTGTTTAAATTCCTTCAACCTTCTGTTATTTTCTAGATAAGTGTCTTGGGCCAAGTTATTTCACCTGAGTCCCAATATAGTGTTTTGTAAAAGGGAGATGAGGCCAATACCTGCTTGTGGGGTTCACAGAAAGAAATAGCCAGTGTCTAGAATATAACAGAGAATGTCCCTTTTGCCTTGTTTCCTTCTACTTCCGTGGCTGCCCTCTTTCGGCCTCTTTTGCAAACTCCTCTCCCTTTATTGACTGAAATATTGGAAGTTCCCTAGGTTTCCATCCTTGGCCCTTTTCTCTTCTCACTGGACTCATCATCCCTGGCTAATCTGAGCAGTGTCAAAGGCTCTGAGACAGCTTATGGACTGATGAGTCCACTCAGCTGGGTCTCCTACAGCTCACACATGAATTTACAAAAGTCTACTGACCATCTAGATTTACGTGTCTAGTAAGTACTTCAAAATTAACAATATGTCTTTACCCTTCCCCAAGCTCTTCGTCTCCTAAGTTCTCGATCTCAGTAAAATGGCACCTTATCCATCTGGTTTTGAACTGAAATTTGGGAGGCATAACCTTGCCCTTGCTCTCATTCCCACCTCTAATCAATCCCCAGGTTTTGTTCACACTATTCAAAAGTATCTCTTGATCTGTTCATCTAGTTATCTCCATCCCACTGAATGCTTTTCTAGATCATTTCCCAAAAAATTATTGCAACAGCATCTTTCCTGATCCCTCTTTCCAATCATGCCTGCCTCTAAGTAACACCAGAGGACAGAGAGATCCTTCTACAATACAAACCTGATCCTGTGAACTCCCTGATTAAGTTTTGTCAATGACTCCCCATTTCCATCTGGACATGGTTCAAATTCCTTAAATTGACTCAATCTTGTTCTATCTTTTCATCTCTTTCTAGAAATCCTACCCAATTCCAACAGCTTTAAATACCATATTATGCCAATAACTCCTAAATTTACATCTCCTAGACTCCCACCCAGACCTCTACCCTGAGCCCAAGTCTCTTTTACAGTAGCCTGCTTAACATCTCCATTAGATGCCATCATAGGCATCTAAGAAATGTGTTTACCAGGATTCTTGATTTCCCTCCCCATCTTCCTCAATTCAGCAAGCCACCCAACTGCTCAACTCAGAAAACCTGGGTATTATCTTTAATTCCCTTTTTCTCAGCCTGCACTTCAATCCACCTGAAATGCAATTAATTCTCTCTAAAATATTTCAGTCTATCCGTTTCTCTGTATTTTATTCCCATTACTGTCTAAGTCATCATCTTCTTTCACTTGGACCATCGCCAAGCCTCCTGTTTCACTATGCCCGTGTGTGTCCCCTTCCAATTCACTCCAACACAAAGCACCAAAGGAGTCTTTTAAAAATATAAATCAGTGCATGTCACTCTCTTGCTTAAAACCTTTCAGTGACTTAACACTGCTTTTAAAATAAAATCCAAAATCCTTGCCGTGACTTACTTGCCCTCCATGGGGCAAGTCTACACGGATTCTTACTATCCCCTTATTCACCACACTCTAACAGCAGGTCATCTTCTTCCTGACTCACTTTGACCGCAGAGCATCTAGGACAGTGCCTGGTACTTGAGACACATGTGACAAATGCTGAAAAGATGAATAAATGAGTGGCTTACAAGACTTTTCTTGGACCCTGCTTCAGCTATTCTCATCCTACTTCTACATATTACAGTCTAAGCCCCACTACATTGTAGAATAGAATGAAAGTTGGCAATGCCTACCTTGAAACACTTTTAGCTGGTGGCAGCAGAAATCAAAACGAGAGAACCCCAAGAGATGGGTGAAAACTCTGGCAGAATCAGGACTGATTCACTTCGCCATTTTTCCCCACTGGGTGGACATTCTCGGGCTCCTCTGAGCTCACATCTTGAAGAGTTTTTAATGTTTTCTTTTCAACTGTGGTAAAATATCAATAACAAAATAATTTACCATTGCAACCATCGTGAAGTGTGTGATTCAGTGACATTAAATACATTCACAAGGTTGTAGACCCAACACCGCTGTCTATTACCAGAACTCTTCTATCAACGCAGACACTCTGCATCCATTATACAGTGACTCTCCATTCTCCTCTCCTCCCAGCCCCTGGTAACCACTATGCTACTTTCTAGCTGCATGAACTTGCCTATTTTTAGTACCTCATATAAGTGGAATCACATAATATTTGTCCTTTTGTGTCCAGCTTCTTTCAATTGGCATAATGTTTTCAAGGTTCATCCATGTGGTAGCGTGTGTCAGACTTGCACCCCTTTCTATGAGTGATTAATATTTATGTTTGTTTTTTTCATTCATTTGTCCAACAAATATTTACCGAGCACTTTGTTAAGGTCCAAGCAGTGCTCTAGACCCTATTCAGACAGCAATGAACAAAAAACAAAAAGTTACTGCGTTCGTCACACAAATAGAGAAGTAAACATATAGTATGTCAAACAGTAAGAAGTGCTATGGAAAACCAATATTGCAAGACTAGCTGTATAGGAAGAGGAAACCTTCGTGGTAGGATGCGACTGTTCATGTCGTGCCTTGAGGGCTAGGTTTTACTCTGAAATAAGAAGCCAATACGAAGTTTGGAGTTACAGAGTGACCTAACCTGACCTACATTTTAAAGAAAAATCCTGGCTTCAGTATTAAGGGAATATGAGGCAACATGAGGCAAAATGAGACAAAGGGGAAATAGAAATACCAGCTAGGAGGATAACCCAACAGTCCAGGTGAATGATGGTTAAGACCTGTACCAGAGAGTACTAGTCCAGGTTCTCCAGGGAACCAGAAACTATAGGATATATAGGTGATAGGTAGATTATGAGACAGGGAGAAGGGGGGAGGGGAGGGAGGAGAAAGGGAGAAGGAGGAGGAGAGGGAGAGAGAGAGGGAGATTTATCTTAAGGAATTGACTCATTCAGTTGTGTTGGCTGGCAAGTCTGAAATCCGCAGAGCAGGCCAACAGGCTGGAAACTGAGGAAGGGTTTCTGTGTTTCAGTCTTGTGGCCAGATTTCTTCTGAGAGAGAATCTGTTCCATGCCTCTTCCTCGTTTCTGATGGTTTGCTGGCAATCTTTGGCATTCCTTGGCTTGTAGATGCATCACCCCGATCTCTACTTTCGTTTTCACGTGGAATTCTCCCTGTGTGTGTGTGTGTCTCTGTCCAAATTTCTGCCTTTTATTTTACACCAGTCATACTGGGTTAGGGGCCTACGCCATTCTAACATGCCTCATCTTAACTAATTATATCTGCTACCACCCTATTTTTAAACAAGGTCATACTCTGGGGTACTGGGTTCAGAACTTCAACATATGATTTTGGGAGGAGACCCAATTCAACCTACAACACAGAGTGATACCTACGAATATAAGAAGCAGTTGGGAGTTTGCTGAAGTGTATGAAAGAAAGAGAGAAGTCAGGGATACTCCAATGTTTTTGACCTAAACGAAAATGATCAAGTTGCCATTCACGGAGATGGAGAAGAAAGTTTGGAGGGGAAAATCAAGAGTTCAGCTTTGCATATAATGCCAATAAATATATGGATAGACTGTATATTCAAATAAAGACCCACCTCCTATCCTAAGCTCCTCCTGTGGTTGACAACATCAGCAGGAGGCAGAGGGCCCAGGTGTCTCTGAAGGAACTGAGCAGACAGAACCTGCAGTGAGTCCCTTCCCCAGGCATCCATGTCACCTAAGTAGTCCTCATTTCTGGTCCCCTCCACTTCTGTTCCTAGCCCCGCCTTCGTCACTATCAATGTTCCATTATACGATACTTACTTATAACACCTCCATAGAAGCCCTAAGCATAGATCCACTTAAAAAGTTATTAAAAGAATGTATGAACTGTGTCTCCCTCTCTCTCTGCCCCTCCCCCGTTCATGCTCTGTCTCTCTCTGTCCCAAAAATAAATAAACGTTGAAAAAAAAAATTAAAAAAAAAAAAAGGGGGGCGCCTGGGTGGCGCAGTCGGTTAACATGGTTTGTAGTCAGCACAAGCAAAGACTTGCCATTATAGCTTTAAATCGCTGTCAATCAGATTCTTGGATCCAAGTGGAGGAACTGTCTCTCCAAATAGCATAAAAAAAAATATACAATATAGTCAAACCACACCAAAACAGAATTTTGAAGAGAAAAAAAAAGAATCCAGGGGAAAAAAATAGATCATCTTATAAAACTAAATCAATTTCAAATTCCATTCTAACTGTGATTTTTATTCTAAAGCCTCTCAGAAATTTTTCGTTAAAAGTAGTTTAATCTTGCCATGGATGTTTCTTTTATGAAGCGATGCTATTTAGGGGGGAATAAAAATTTTCAATTTGCCTTCTAAAGGGATGACACTTTGCATATATTGATTTGGATGTGGTGATGTTTTCCTCGACATGGTTCAATAGCCAATATGATTAATTAGGGAAATGGACATTCGATCTTCATAAAGTATTCCCTAAGTCTTTTGGATCCCTAAGGAGCAGTGCTTCCAAGAATACAGATTCCAAGATGATTCCATTTTGCGGGTAATATTAGTGAAATGGTCTGACTGTCATCTAGAATCTGGCCTAACAGGAAGACAGGGATCTCTAGAGTACTGCGGGCAGGTGAAGGTCTTTCCTCAGATAACTCGTCTCAGATCGAATTTTGTGGCTACACTAATACTCCCAGAGCTCTGTCCTTGCCAGGAGGGCCAGAGGAAGTCAGATTTCAGCACCCTACACCTATCATGCTTCACATCCCTGCTTGTTAGAGAAGCCAGCGGTCCCTCCCCAGACTCCCTGTGACTCCAGACACCAGCCAGCATTGGAGGGCAGGCTGCTGATCCTGAGAGAAAAGACCAGTGCAGGGAAGGGTAAAAGCTGAATGTCTCCAAAGGAGCAGTGGAGCCGGGCTTTGTGTTTCTGCGGCTGAGTTTCAGACTTTTATTCTGCCTGAACATTTCCACTATTTTCCCTCACAAGCGTCTCTGTCTTGAAGCAAAGGACCGAAGCAAAATGCCTAATGAAGCGAACTTGGGGGGGGGGAGGGGGTTGCAAACGACCCAAGAAGAAGGACTTGGAAGGGGAGAAGAGGGAAGGGTCAGGTTACAGGTTCAGACATTCTCACAAGACCATTTGAAAATATGAACTTGAGACACAAATTCTGGGACCCATGGATGTCCCAAGAGGCTTCCTTCAGGCCCCTAGGAGTGGGGCATGCATCGCAGAAGCGTGCCTGCTGCTCATTTTCAGCAGTTTAAACTTAGTTCAAGCCCTCAAATGAAGGTTGGTCGGGAAAGGTCGTGGGTGGGCTTACTCAAGCTCTGGGTAACCAGGGACTGACCCGGTTCTTTCTTGACTTCCTTTGCACAGGGTCCTTCGGGACCCTGTGCCCTCCTCCGGTTAGGTTTCTGCTGCCATCCAGCTGAGCGCTGGAGGCATACACTGCCACGGCCGGCCACCGGCCAGCCGTAACTGGCAGGTGCGCACGAAGTTAGCTGAGACCCTGAGACCCGCCCAGGTCCAGCTGGCGGCGGCGTCTGAGCTCACTTGGCGCCGACTGAGCCCCCAGCCCAACCCCCAGACCAAGGGGTTCGTCCTCTGCCCTCCTCCCCTGAATGACGAATGCTGGGCGCCAAGGCAAGGCCGGCGGCTCTGAGCGTTTTCCAAATTTCTCATTTCCCCCTGCGTCGAGTGAGCTGTTGGCGCTGCTCCAGAAGCCTCCGGGGCTCTCAGCTCCAACCCCTAAAATACACGCACGATGCCAGAAAGCGGGGGAGGGGAGAGCAGGAACGAACGGGGACAATGAGAATACTAGGAGAAAGACCCCATTCTCCAGGAAAAGGTAATAAGGGAAGCGACACAGTGTGAACTTACTCGGAAATGCAAACCAAGCTTCACTCTCTCCCCGAGCGCATACAAACGACCGAAAGACAAATCAGCCAACAAGCTCGGCGGCTTCCAAGAAAGGGGCTCATGAATGAGAATAGGTTGCTAGGTTTCCCTCCTCCCTCCCGACAATCGCTTCCCACAAGACTTCCACCGCCCAAAGAAAACATGCCGGGCCTGGCAACTACAAAGCGGGGGTGGGGGTGGGGGTGGGGGGGATCCTCGCCGAGCCCACGAGGCCGCCCGCGGCCGCTCCCGCCTTCAGGACCCTGGAGAGCGGCCGCCGCGCCCTTGGGACTCCCTCCCTTCCCGCCCACTAGCCTAGTCCCCTCCGGCGCCTCGCCACCCAGTCACTTTTATTCGCTGCCTCTCGCCTCCATCTTCACTTTTCTTGGCAACCACCACTCTTGTTTTTCACAAACAGATTAAACTGTCTTTTTGTTTTGCTTGAGGGGGCTGTTTGGATTGGCTGAGTTAGGTTCTGGACCGTAACTTCACTCAATGTTAGTGGACCAAGAAGCTCTAAGAGCTCAAAAATGAGAGTCTGACTAGGCAGGTGACCTTAAAAAACCACTGACTTCAATCCCTTTACTTCACAAGTGAAGTAGAAAAATTCAAAGAATAAAGAGACTTTCCCAAGGTTAGCCGTGGTGTTAGTTGCAAGGCTGAGTCTAGAACCCTGGGCTTCTGACTTCTAAATGAATGCTTCCCTCTACTTTCAAAGAAAATAATAACAATAATTTTACCTTCACACTGGCCTTGTAGATACCCTAAGCAAGAAGTGGAAGGTGGAAAGGCCTGCGTTCCTGAGAATAAGATGGATACATAGGGTGCAGAAAGGGGCCCTGCATACTGTGCCCTCATGAGCCCCCAAAACAGTCCTGGTATCCCACCCACTCTCACCAGCATGACCAAAGTCAAATGAGCCAGCCCCGTCATCCCAAGACCGGGATCCCTCAGTCTTCTGCCACTATCCAATTCTCCCCAGACACGTCTCTAGACACTTGGTTAGTAGTAACCAAGTCCAACTTCTGTGCCTCCAGCAGGAAGAGCTCCAGGCACCTTGGGAGGTGGGGAAGGTGAGAGGGAAAGAGAGGAGAGCAAGAGTTGTGAAAGTGAACTAGGAGTGGGGCGCCTGGGTGGCTCAGTCAGTTAAGTGTCCGACTTTGGCTCAAGTCACGATCTCACGGTTGGTGAGTTTGAGCCCCACGTCGGGCTCTGTGCCCACAGCTCAGAGCCTGGAGCCTGCTTCGGATTCTGTCTTGCTCTCTCTCTCTCTGCCCCTCCCCGGCTCATGTTCTGTCTCAAAAATAAATAAAACATTAAAAAAAAAAATTTTTTAAGTGAACTAGGAGAGTTGCATTCGTAGGAGATTCTAAAGAACCAAGAGATATGAACACAGAGGCATCTCATACTTAAGGTGCACACGAAACTCCTGGGAATGTTAACATTCAGATTCTGATGCAATATTCAGGACAGGGTCCCAGATTCTGTGTTTCCAACAAGCTCCAGGTTGTTATTGAAGCTGGCCCAAGAACGACAATGGGGAGCCAAGTTAGAAAGGGCAAGGGGAGAGGAAGAAGAACGGGGGAAGGAGAGAAAGGGGAAGGACAATCTAACCAAAGGCCTTTCCTTTTGCTCTCGCCGACCTTCTCTTGCACCCCAATGTACAGCCTCTAAATGCTGTAGAAATGGCACTAAAAGCACATTTTCAGTCTGTAGCTGGACCCAACACTAATGGCGTGTTGGGTTTGTTTCTCTCCCCCTACTTTTTTTGCTCTTCCTGCCGCCGGCCCTGCACAGCTCGCAGACGCGCCCGCTGCCCCGAAGCTGCTCAACCTGCTTTTTAGCACGCTCTCTGGCCTCGCGCGATTCTTCTCTCACCTTCTCCAGCGACCCCCTTCTGGGGCTCCCCAGCGGCACCCGGACTTCTCCCTCCTGCTTCCCGCTTGCGCCCTGCCCGCGGCTGGGCTCTCGCGGGGGCATGGGGGGCGGCCAGGCCGCCTCTCGCTCCTGCTCCGGGCAGCTCTGGCACTGCCTAGGCCCCCAGGGGGACGCCTGCCCAAGGAAGAGGATGCCTGCGCGGCGCAGAGCTCGCCCATGCCCGTGAGTACCATTGTCTCCACCCACGCCCCACCCCCGGCCTCACCGGGACGCCAGCATCCCCAGCTCCTTCCAACCCCCACTGACCCACTCCAAGCCCGGCCAGCAGGGGCTCTGGCCAGCAAGGGGCAGGGGGGCGCGGGACAGAGAGTTTGGGTGGTAAGGTCCAGAGGCCTGAGCACGTTCAAGGAAAAGGCGCCGGCGCCTCGCCTGACACCCCCTTTCCGTAGTAGACCCTCGAAGCTACTTTTCCCTGGACCATTTCCTTCCAGTGTCAATGCAAGCGGGAGGGAGCCCTCACCCTTCCTGAGCCTGCTTCTCAAACTCTCGCTCTCAGCGCGTCGCTCAACCCCCTTCCTCCAAGCCTACCCCCGACGCGCCTCCGCCCCCACCTCGCGCTCCCACTCCCCTGCCCTCAGCGTCTGCAAGCTCTGGAGGCCGGGGAGGAAATGACGTGATGTTATTTTTGTGTCAGGTCAGCTTCCAGCTTCAGTTTAGCCCTCCGAGCTCCGGCGCAGGGCTCCGGCCTCCGCCTGCGCCTCGCTCCCGAGGGCACGCGGCGGGGTGTATAGGGACACTCGATGCTCTGTGCCCGCAGAGCTGGGCGGCAGCGTTCCCCACCCCCCCCCCCCCAGGGCTCTCCCTACCCCCAGACTTCGGAGCCCCTGGGGACGGAAGGCAGCAGCCTGGGGTCTCAGCGGGATCCGGAACCCGGAGCCAGCCAGCCCCCACCTCCCCACCCCCACCCCGGTGGGGCGTCCGGCATCGGCGGCAGGAAGAGGGCGTGGAACCCCTTTCCAGAGAGGGACCAGCAGAGGCTGAAGCTGCACGGGGGTGGGACGAAGCTGCACG